GGATGACCTGCAGAAGCCCCTTCCAACCAGAATTACCTTATGTTCTTAGGATTTTAGAAGTTATCATTAGTTTTTCCTGAAATAAGTAAGAAAAATAACAGTGAGGGATAGTCTTTCTGGGATAAACTTAAAGAAAAAATTTGCAGTACATAGGCATAAAGCACTGAAAATTAAAACCATTACAGCATATCATCATCCAAAACTGACTGCTGTAGGTATATATAATATGTAAGTATATATAGCTACAGATGACAAGATTAACTATCATCTTAGAGAGATAAATTTATACTAAAAAAATCTCCTATTATTTCTATTTAAATCATTTTTTAAAATTTCAATCAAATTATGATGAGACATATGTGTAGCCACTTAGGAGCCTATAACTAGAGAGCATAAACTGAGGGAAAAAAAAAGTAAGTAATCTAAGAACATGAAATAGGTCAAATTATCATGCAATAATCAAACATGAACTTCTAGAAAAGTTCTACAAAACTCTAACTGAACCCAAAGACATACTTACATAGAAAATCCCAGATCACCAAAAAAAAAAGCATAAGTGAATCTGCTAAAGCAACAAATTATTTGAACAAGTTTCTTTTTAATTCTCTAGGCTAAAAAACATAATGGGGCTCAAAGATGTGCTGTTATATTAAAAATACAGTGTCACAGTGGATAAGGAAGGGATGGGGTAAGATGAGTGAGGAGAGGAAAAATATGAGATACTATGTGTAGCAAAATTCAACCTAGAAATACATATTTCTTAATAACACCTTTGACAATTCTGGAATCAAGAAAATAAGACAGTCAGGATGGGTTGGAAAAATAAATGAGTTTTCTGTTAAGAATAACAAAGGGATACAAATACAATCACTTTTCCATTACACTCTTATGCATTGGAAAGACAAACACATAGAAAAAAATGTATCTAGCTTGTATTAGATAAAAACTTCACAACAGGACCCTGATTATTACCAAGTACACCCCTTAAACTTATCTAATACTGGTAGGCCAACATTAAATGGAAGCCTATATTGATGAATAAGTCAATGGAAACACTCTGCAGAGATTCCTGGATGGCAGTTACCACCACGTGTCACACGTGCCTCTTCTTTAATATCTTTGCACTGTTTATTCAGACATCTCATACAAAATATTGGTAGTCACACATATGTTTCTTATTACATATTTTCACAGAAAAAAAAGGAAACAAAATAGCTCTAATCCTGTTTGGAATTCTCCTTCAGTTTTGTGATTTTATGTTGTGTAGCTTTGAGAGAGAAGCAGTTTTTCCTGATCGGCTGTAAAGACACTTATCTATAGCAGATCACACAGAAAAAACTAAGTGAGCAGTAAGAACTAATTTAATTATTATTTCCAAGAAACAATCAGCAGTAACTTTCTTGAGAATCAGACAGACTTGAACAGATCACCTGGAATACCACATAGTAGCAACAAGTTTGGTAAATTGAGAATACACAGCTGTTAAAGTAAAACTGTGTCTACACTGTCACAGCCCTGCCTTGGCCCTACTGGCTACAGTTTCTATTCAAGATGTTCACCCCTTAAATCAACCAGTGCTTTTTGGTTTTGCCATCAGGCATTTCAGCTATGTCAAACTGCTCACAACAGGTATCAGTCAGCAAGGGACAGGAATGAACATCCAGATGCAAGCAGGAGCACAAGATTATTACAATCTGATGTAAATCAACTTATGCAATTTGGGACATGACTAATCTTAAACTGAATCATGTCAGGTCCTATTTCACCCAACCCCATCTAGTTCTTGCCCCCTGCCAGTGGATTTGGTGATCATGTACCCAGAATGCGAGTCAGTTATAATCATACAATCAAAGGATGGCTTGAGATGGGAGGAACCTGTAAAGATCACCTAGTCCAACAATCCCGCATGGCTAGGGACATCTCTCACTAAATCAGGTTGCTTAAAGTCACATCAAACCTGACCTTGCACAGTTCCAGGGATGAGGCATCTACAGTCCCTCCAGGCTCACTCATAGTAAATAAATATACTCCTTATGTCCAGTCTAAATCTACCCTCTTCCAGTTTAAAACCCTTTGTCCTGTCACTACTGGCCTTAGCAAAAAGGGTCTTACCATCTTTAAGTCCCCTTTAAGAGCTGAAAAGGTTCTGGGCTTCAAGCATACATTGCAGGCTCATACCCAAGTTTTGGTCCACCAGTATCCACAATTCCTTCTCCACAGGGCTGTTCTTAATCCATTCACCCTCCAGTCTGTATGATATTGAGGACAGCCCTGATCAAGGTTCAAGACCTTGCACTTGGTCTTGTTGAATTTCATTAGGCTTGCACTCCTGAAGCCTGTCAAGGTCCCAACCAACTCAACCTGCAACTACACGACTGTTCTATCTGACAAGTGAAGTGGTATCAATGCTGAAGGGAACCAAGAGAGAAGAATGGTAGAAAAAAAACAAACAAGCAAGCAAATCCTCTCATCTCAGCAGCACCCCACAGTTGCACTGAATTAACTGCAGCAACAGTGACACAACTACAACA